TCCTTGACCGAACAATACATCCCGAGTAAACAAGACTCTGAAAATGAACTAAATCAAACAAATTTCAAAAGTATTTCTTTCCTAAATTTTTACTCTATCCACTACAGAGGAAGTTGTCATGAAAGAGAAAGTAGGAAAACGGGGAAGAAAGGAGAAATAGGATGAAATACTCGGTAGTCGCTGTGTATATCAACACCTCATCTAATGAACATTTCACAGCAAACCGTAAATTTGAAGCCCAGTAGACAGAGTCACACTGAAGCTGTCCAACACATGCTCAATGTGGAACATTACTCCCCAAAAACACTCCACCCTTGCTCACTGTCAATTCCTACTAATGGATCATTGTAATGAGGAGGGCCATTTGGTGTGAATATCAAGGGTCAGCAATATGTTTATTCAATATGCTCTCCCTCTTTAAAACCTGTTTAAGAGGCTTGTCAAGAGAAAGTGGTCAGGTTAGAGTTAAAAGTCAGAATTACATACATGTACATATATACATGTATATGTTGAAATGTACCGTAGATGCGTGCCCTAAATGGGTGAAGTCGAAGTTCAGTGATTCATCTGGAAGAAGTACTTGGTTTCCCCCTTTTGACTCATTTTCCAGAACTACCCCAAGAAAGAAACATAAATTGCACACCTCATAGGGCATTCCACAGTATCCAAATGTGTTGAACATAGAATGAAATACAAATACATGTAAGAGGCCGAAAACAAAGGAAAAATCATTTGAGTACAACTTCAATTTGAATAAGTTGTAGAGTAACTGAATTGTCAATGTTTTCTTTTTTTAAAATTTCGAAATAGAGAACAAAATTGGAAAATTATATCTGCTAAAAGAAATTCTTAGTATTTGCTTTCCAATTTTTTAAAATAATTTTTTAGAATATTCAGCTGTATGTGTCATCAAAACTCTGATCTCTGCCTTCACAATTGATTGTGGCGGAAATCTAATTTTTTTCTTATGACAGAGGCTGAGTGAACCGATTCCTTTTTGCTTTTGGAGGGGGCATTCGTCATTCATGTTTAGTCTGAGCTGTTTGACAAGGGGCCTTGACAGAATGCATCACTTGAGCAAGCATAGGGCTTGGAGGAGGGGGGTGATATCCATGTGTCAGCATCTATATGGGGGAGTGATTGCCCCTTAATGGAATGTTTGTGTTATAAAGGTGACAAATTGAGCTAAGGTGAATGTCTCAGGAATTGCAAATGATGGGAGGACTGCTCAATTATAATGCTAGATTCTAAGTGGCCTATTCATCATTGTACAGGAGGGGCTTGAATGATTGTTGGCCAGGGTCTTTTTTATTCAAATCTAATGCTTATGAATTATGCAAAATGTGGCCTACATGATGTGTTGTTAATTAAAAGCTGTTGCACATGCACTTGTAGGATTGAACTCCATGACTCAACATGGAACAGCTAAGCCAACCGCCAAGACTGGTGTTTTGCCAGTGCTTTGTGCAATGCAACCAAATTTTAATTTGCTTCATGTACTGCGCATGTGGCTGTATTAATCGAGTTTATCATTTCAGTTCAAGAAGATTTAGTTGCATTTGGCAAAAAGAAAAGGCGAACCTTATGGAGATGGAGTTAACGTACATGTTAACGTAGGTACGCATGCTATATTACCGTGTATCACCAGTGCAGAAAATGGAACGTTGAGAGAAAAAACTTTTATTTGCAGAAATCTGTCATGAATGTTATGAGTTACTTACACTCCGAGGTCTGCACGACTTCTTGCTGAATATTCAAGATTTGTTTCAAATAACTGTACCAATGCACAACAGTATGGAATGTCTGCGGAAAATGAATTCTTTACTGCTCAAAACAAGATAAGAGTTTTAGATGAGATTCCCTTCTTTTTGGTTACATGATCTGACTTTGATACTTCAAGCTCTCTGAATCAGGTTCCTTCTTCATTCTATATACATTTACATGTAGATAGATTGCATGCAAGAAACAAATTTTCAACAAAACTCCTGCTTCTCTATCGATTTTCATGATGAAAGTAAACGGCCCATGAATATATCCCACATGCATATTTGAGCCTTTTTTGTTTTCTTCGGATTTATTGATAGACTCCCTTCGACAAATCCCCAGCTTAGATCGAGTTCATGTCCCAACTGCATCTCATGAATATTTAGCTCACACTTCCAAACACCATTTGTGTTCACCTGACAGATATTCATATCAGATTTGTGTTTTCCAAATGGTGCTTTGAGGAAGTGCATAGATGTACTCTTCCGTCACATCTTCACCCAGACTGTGTGTCCCCAGTCCAATCTCTTGCAGCCCATTTCTGCTAGACCTTAAGGCCTCTTGCCTGGCTCCAAGCACATCTGCCAGACATACTGTCTAGAATTCATCCCTTCATCTCTCTGTTCTTCCTTTGGCTCTGGGGCTGAGGCACTGGTAAAGCAAACAGTACAATCCAAGCAAACTTGCAAGGGAAGTGCTGCATGTCAATAGCATTTCAAGCAGTTTGGGTGAATGTTCCTGGTATGTACATATATGTACTGCTACTTGACATTCTAGCTGGATTGTTTTACAGTAGCAGGTTCAATCAACATTCTAAGTGCCAAATGCCCAGCTACTACAGGTTGGGCCTTCCTACATGTACATGCCCCCTCCATTTCCCCAAGAATCAAGACCCCAGTGGCACATTGAGCTACTGTCTGCATTGTAGTCAGGGGTTTTCACACGTACATGTAATGTACTTGTACAGTACATGTACATCCATTTACCATGTATATTTGCTATTCCTTGCTTGATCCTTGTAAACTAGTCCTAAAGCTCTTTGTGACCGAAGTTTCTGGAAGTTTGAGTGTTGAATCCAGCTTCTTTTATGCTCTTCAGTGCTTGGCAACTGATGTACATGTACAGTGTACATGTACAAGTAACGTTGGCTTGTGGTTTTTGGCTTTGTGTCAATTGATGGAGGACCTTATGGGAGCATTTGTTCTTGATATTTTAGTGGATATTGTAAATTTACGAGGTTCTGGAATTTTATCCTACACAAAATGACACTCTGCAATATGTATTGACACTGCATATGTAGTGTCTTAAAAGTTAGAAGTGAATGACGAGGGGAGGAAGTAAGAAGTGAATGATGGGAAGGGGGCTGGGGAAGTAAGTGGTACTGTGAAGAGCTTTCTGGTTTCAATTTTTGCAGGGATTCGAATGTTTGAAAGAGGAACAGCTTGACCAGATGCTGCATCAATGCACTTGAGAATTTAATTAATGTTCAGTCCGTGTATGAGGAACTTCCTTAGTACCCTGTCTTGAGAGACAAGATTGCTGTTACTGGGTCAAGCCTGTTTGGAATCAATATTTGTCATGTACCGGTGACACCACCCCTGTGGAATCGGCTTGCATTTCTTCCGTGGATGATATCTCAGAAGTGCTTTCCAATAATTGGTTCTACATGTACATGTACATTGTACAAGTGATTATAAATTCACTCTCAAGATGTGCAAGCACATGTACATGTGCCTGTACTCATGTGACTGTTGGCAGTCTCTTTTCAGAGTGTACCGGTATTTTCTTTAGTGTACTGTACCTCACACAAGAATGATGCCTTCATTTTGGAAAATACATGTAGATATCTTCTGCTGTGTTGCTTCACAAATGTCGATATGTTACTGTAAATACAAAAAAGTCATGTTTCTTAAGATACTTTACACATACATGTACATACTCTCCCCGATTTGTCTTTACCCCAAATGTTCTGTAAACCTTGTACGTAGCACACCTTAAATCTCAGATCCTACACTACATCTACATGTATGCATGTTGGATGTCATGCCTGCATCATTTTGGTTAGCATTTTTATACTAAATTTACCTCGATTTTCAATCATGTAATAAATTGGATTTTCCTTTCACTATAATCTACATAGAATAACATTGTGTATTCTGCTATCTGAGAGCTGAAGGGGAAAATATTACAAGGTTTTTCTGGTTGGAACTCTAACCTGTGACCTCAGTGCTGGGTGTAGACGCTTGGACCACTTGACTTCTAAGCTTTCTGCACCAATAATCAAAGCTAACGCTTTCTCACAAGTACTCAGAAAGTATCAGTGCTGGATAAATAATAGCGGTGAATTGGAAGTTGATATTATTAAAACCAACATTGATATTATTAAAACCAACATCTACCCACGGCTAGCAATCTTTCTAATTGGTGATCAGGCTCACAACAGGTGCAGATTTGGAAGAAAGAAGGGGATTCAATTCCCATCATAACAGCACTGAGAGCCTTGTCATGAAAGAACTAGAAAGATTGAATTGCAAAATTATTCACAAGACTTGAGGCTTCAGAATTGTCCTTTATAGCAGTATTTTGTGGTGAGGGTGCTCTTTATATCAAAAGTGTACTGGAAAGTATTGTCATACAGAATTTGGACTCCCATGAAATGACTTTCTTGTTTTTTTATTAAAGCCTTCCAGGTTCATAGTTGTCATTGTCTTGGCTCCAAGTTATGTGCCGCTGCAGTGATTGAGTCTATATTTCATTGCATTGAGCTGCATAATACACTGGTTCCCAGATTCAAGTACATGTACCATGAATAATCAATACATAATGTACATTGCAATGGAAAGTTAACCTGGAAATGGAAAATTCTCTGGGCACTTATTGTCTTCCCAGGGAGTTCATTTTCATTTCACAAAATGTGAAATACTTTTCTCAAAGTGGGACAGAAATTTCACTGGTTCCCCTCAGGTGGGAAAAGATTTTCAAAAATTTCCCACAATTTGGTAAAGAATTAGAAGAATTCACACCGGTGGGAAAAGATTTTCACACATTTTCACAGGATTGGGAAAACATTTTCATGGATTTCCCACAAGCGGGGAACATTTTTACACCTCTTCACACAAGTGGGAAATTATATTGGCGTCCTGTGAAATGCGAGTGTGATTATGAAAGTGTATCCTTTTCACGAATTCCCATTCTAATTAAAAAGATATGTTTTGTGTTTTCCCTGTTTTCTGCAGACCCTGAAACTGAATACTGAAGTAAGGCCAGACGATGGTGATTGGGCCAAACAGAGACAACAGTCATCAGTAAGTTGAGCTGCTAAATTTGCCATCCGATATTGTAATTCCTTCCTGTGTCTGGGTTACAACAGTCCAGACTAAGTGACGTGCAATTTGTTAAGGTTTTATTACTTTGGATTGCTGGATTTTAACAGTTTCACATAAAATTGGAGATTTGTGATTCCATTACTGAGCCCATTATTATTTCTGAGTCATAAACGGAAAAAAAGTTTCTGCGAAGAAAGGAGTGCAGGTAGTAGGAAACTTACATGTACCGTTATCTTCTATTGTCCTCCTTCTTAAAGAAGTTAAATTTGTTTACAAATAACAAATGAAACTGTTGGTGAAAATTGTACAAATTTTCACTTTTACTTGGAAAAGTGTAGACTGTTTCCATGGTGTCGGTCATTTCCTGTGAAAAACCTCTCAGTTTCTTAGGTGGGTTGAACATCAGAAATAAAGTATTCCACATTGATGGTGAATGTCAAAAATGTTTCTTTTGTTTCCCCAGCCTTACATGGACATTGTGGTTACTCTTTCTCAATAGATAAAAACAACAAAACTGTAATTGGATTCAGGGTTCCCGCGGTCTGGAAAAGTCATGAAAAAGCCATGGAAATTCGTTTTTGTTTTCCAGGCCTGAAAAAGTCATGGAATTTTGGACAAATGATTTAGGTCATGGAAAAGTTATGGAATTTTTCAAACACTGTGTGTAATTTCTTTTATCAGAATTAAGTGCATAAAATGTGTGATTTTATCCGCAACTTTAAAAGTCCGAATAGTCCAAGTAATTGCATTATTAGGTCATGGATTTTCATAATTTGGTCATGGAAAAGTCATGGAATTTAATTGCCCTTTATGTACAGGAACCCCGTCAGGATGAATCCAGGCATTTTCGCTCTTAAAATAATTGCTGAATTCCATTGCAAAAGAGACAAGAAATTAAAGGAAAAGGAAAATCAAAGAGATTGTGGATTTTCCTGCCAGATCTGATAAATCAGACGGCAAATGTACGAGTAGTTCATGCTGCTGTTTGTTGCTGGCCAGAAGTACAGTGTATCTTTAAGCTCTGCTGAATTCTGCAAGGTTAGGTGGCCCAAAAGGGTGTACATTTTTATTAAGGGTTTAGAGGTATAGGTATTGCATAATCGGAAGTTTTCAAAACCTTGGATTCATTATTTTGAGTTGGCAAATTTTGTTAGATCTTTAAAAATGGAAAGGTGCTATTTAAAATAAATCTGCTTTGTTTTTTGGCTTTTTATGTTGGATTAAAACCCCTTCTAAAAAGCTATGAGAATGGATCATTGAAGATACATGTATCTATTTTGTTTCCCTAAGGCTTTAATGGACAGATTTGTTGCTGGCTCACGATTTTGAGTGCAATTTTCTCAAGAAAGACCAATGCCACGTTCATTCCCCACATTTACTTAGGTATTCACACCCTGCATTAGTCACAAATTACCCATCCGATTTAGACCCAAAAAAGATAGATTGGCTTTAAAAAAAAAAATGGGCTGGTGGCAGAAACGTCTAGTGGCATTACCTCACCAGAGGGAAATGAACCATACAGGGAATGAGAGATCATTAAAGTACGCAGACGTCTCATTGGCAGTGTGTGAATGAGACACTGCTAAACTGGATATCCTGGAGGGAATTCAATGTGCTTGATTAAAAAAGGAAAAGGGGGTAATAATGAATTTGGTCAAATGTAGATTACAGAGCTGACTGGTCACAATGTACCGGTACTGCTGTCTGCCGTTGTAAAATAGTTGCTGAACTTCAATCATACCCGTAATAGCTTTGTAAAAGCTTCTCACTTATAGGAATTACTGCTCGTTGTAAGGAAAATTCAACAAAGACATCAGCAAATGAAAGATACAAATCACAGGTGTAGTGTTTTTAGTTCTCTTTTTTGTAACTAGAATCTGCTTTCTAAATACTCAAATCACATTGAATGTTAACTATTGCAAGAATAAACCTTGAAGTCAGAAGTAATTTTGATATTGGCCTGACATGGACAACTGAAATTGTGGTTTATTCAACTTAAAACATCGCTCCTTGAGTTTGACTGAACATTGTAATATTTCGGTACATTCATGTACACTGTACAAACATGTACATGTATGTTGTATGGTAGGTAAGAATGGCAAACGTTGATAATTTAGGTTTTGACTAGATGACCTTTAAGATGACTCTTCATTCGCGTTGTTGAAGCTTTTATAAGAGTTGGAATTTTTGGGCAATAACCTGAATTGTGCATGTTTACTTTCATCTAGCGTACATGTAGTTATCAAAATCTTCTCTCTTCCTCCAAAGGTTTGGGAAACTGGGACCCATTCTCATGCTTGTTGTGTACCTTGATGCAGTCATGGATATTGATCCAGCAAAACAAAGTGTACGCCCAAACACGTAGTCAATAATGCGCATGTAACAGGGGAAACGTAGGATTACGTCTGCCAGGGATGCCTGGGAACATAGCCGATTTGCCAGCACATTCCAGCAAGCCTTGTGACTCATATGTTTTCATTGCCAGTGATGATCGGTCTCTCCAAAGGCAGTCAGCTGTGATTAGTACTATTATTGCTGTAAAGACCCGAGTGAAGTGGTTCCCTGTCGCAAATACACTGGTAGGATAAACTACGTATGGAGGGAGGGAGCCCTGGGAAGGGGACAGGGGTGAGGAGAGGAAAGTTGGTGGTAGTGCACTTCTTAGTGCTGTGGTATCGTTGGAGGGGTACATGTAGGAAGGGGGCCGGGCATGTGTACTGTTACATTGTGGGATTTGTCATACAGCTTACAAGTCACCAGAGCTACTTGTGTATTGAAGACCTTTTTGACAAGTCTTGGGCAATGATGAGCAATGACCAGCAGTTCTCACAACGTGTATTTACACTTACCAAAACGGTACATGTACAATGTATAGTACATGTATGTGGATGCCAAAATCAGTAACATTGCAAAAGAAAGAGTCCTGGCTCTGGAAGGTTTGAACACCAGGAAAGAGACATCTGATCTTGACCACACTTGCAGTCATGTTCCCAATGATTTTTTTGCTTTCAAACAGAAGCACCCATCCTGGTAGAAATACAGGTAGATGAAACGTGGTGTTGGGAAAGAACTTTATACATTGCTAGTCTTCCAGGAGGCCATATTTTTAGATTAATCCACAGGATGGAGCATCTGCTCAACCTACTAGTGTACATCTAAATGGTGCTAGGGGATAAAACGAGAGTCAATGAAGGGGACGTCTCGCTCACATACCAACTTGTGTGATTGTACACATCTTATACATGTACATTTATGATCCTGTGTGAAGCACAGTTCTCAGACTGACATTCAGAGTACTGTGCATGAGGGAAATGCACATGTGTACATGTACCTGTACATGTAGTCTTCAAGTGCAGAGAGGCAGTGGTGCCTAGGCGTCCTTCAGTGAAAGTTTGGCTGTCTGAATTACTTTAACCCTAACCTCTCAGCCTTTTTACTAGGAACCATCCTGAATCCTCCAAAATCCTCCGATTTTCAACATGAACAAATAGCCTTCATCCCAAGTCCTCCAAAATTTCTTGAATATGTCATTTGGAGGTGTGCCCAACTGCCCGAATCCTTCAAAATCCTCTGGTAGTTCCTGTCATTATGTTGAGGCAGTGCGAATGGCACTCTTGAGCTGTGCAGTTGATTCAACAGAAATATCGGGCTGAACTTGTGCTTGACTAAGCACAAGGTCTAATCCACGACCTTCACGTACATGTATGGCATCCTTCAAAATCAGCCATGCACCTTTGCCGTACACCCTGAATCCTCCAAATTCCTCCCCTTTACAGAAGAGAATTTTGGAGGATTTAGGAGGGTTAGGGTTAATGGCTGGAAATGTACATGTACATGTGCACGTCTTTTTGGGAAAAAGACTGGCTGGTTGGCTGCAGTTATTTCCCATAGACTCCATGCTAGTGCTGGCCACAGTCAACTTGAGCACACACAGCTTGAAACTACTTTGCACCAGAGGACATGTCAACATTAGCTGGCTGTTTGCACACAGGCATGGTTGATGGGTTAAAGTGTCAAGCTTGCCTCAACACACCTTGGGATGTCCACATGCTGGTCTCCCATTTTTTTTGCACACACACAGACCTCGCATGGTCAATTGTGGTAGGGAATGTGGTTTCATAGGTGTATCCTGGAGTGTTGAAAAAAAAAATCAGGTTGTGGAAAGAAATATATGTACATGCAGATACTATTCAAACACTTTTTGCAAAGCAATACAAGTGCATGTGTTTGTTGTGGTGTGCAGCTGTACATCAGAAATAAGTTGCCTTTTTCGAAAATCTAAATTTTCAGCCAAAGATAATGTTGGCAAGTGGTTAAAACTATTGTACATGTCTACTGATACTCAAGAAGTTCATATTGAAGGCAGCATTTACGTATTCTGAATTGTGTCTTGTTTCATCCAATAATTAAAGATGCTATTATGGCTTTTTTGCATACATTTACTTTCTTAAACTTGTTGGTGCACTTGCATCTCGGCAAGTCATAACACACTCAATTGTGGATCGGGCAGTTGACGCCTACATGTACAGCCTGATCGAGTCTGGTGCCACCGCAGTAATGGCTTTTAATTCTTGTTACATTACTCAATGAAGATTATTACTACATGTAGAATAAACTGTTTCTTGCATATAAATTTACCATACACACCGGTACTTCTGATATTGGAGGCCTTATTCACACCTCAGCGGCACTCTTGGTGCCACACTAATTTAATAACGAGGATGGCAATGTGTCAGAAGTTGGATTCATCACACTGTGTACCAGAGGAAAAACTTGCCAAGTCTCACTAATGTTTTGTCATTGACTGAATCATGAGTAATGTTGTGGCGTGAATCATTTGGGCAGGTGATATATTTTAATTATGTCAGTAATGGGTTAATGTTGTCCCCAGAGATGGATCTTAATGCTAAACAGGACTGTGGCGGAGTGATAAATGGAACTATCATGGATGAGTGATTTCAGCCAACCGTGTGAGATTGGTCTGAGTCACTTTGACATCTGCTTATTGTCTTGTTTTTGGCCTGACAGATAAAGTGCTTGCAAACTTGAAAATAAGCTCTCCTGAAAGTGCACCTAAATGAATCTGACAGTGCACTTGTGGGGGATGGCATCAATATGGTACTAGTCAGTTGGCAAAACATACATGTATCCACTTGTAGGATTTATACATGTAGGGGTTTTTAATCTCTGGGGCTAGGGGCTACATGTTCCAGTACGCTGATAAATGTGTACTTCTGATAAATTTCCTGCTAGGTTATCCGAGCCCTACAAGCCTGGTGATATTTATCTTTTAACCTCAAGCTTCTTAAAGCCATCAAAATTTTGCATCTTGTTTGGTAGAA